TTTATCCCTTCCCACCCCTTTCCCCTGGTAACCATAGATCGTTTACTGTGTCTGTGAGTCTGTTTCTGTTTTGTAGACGAGCTCATTAGTGTCTTCTTTTCCCCTTTTTCAGATTCCACGTGTAAGTGATATTGTATGGTATTTTCTTTCTCTTTCTGGCTTATAATCTAAGCCCATCGTCTAATGACAGTGTTCCACTTTATTTGCAGTGCAGGGGTAATTCAGTATTTCTACTTATGAACTTTTTACTTGTATTTGACTACCCTACTCTTTCTTTTCATCCCTTACAACATTGCTGTCATTCATTTAATTTCTTTGTACGCCATAATCACCCAATAAATTGTTGCTGTTATTAATTTAAACAAGCATTTATTAGATCAATAAGAATACGTTAAATAGAAGATTTTATTTTACCGTTATTTTCGCAGAATTCTCTTCCTCTGTGCAGACCCAACTTTCTGACCTGTATCATTTTCCTTCCCTCTGAAGAACTTCTTTTAAACATTCCTAAAAGGCAGATCTACTGACAACCTATTATCTTAGTTTTTATTGGTCTTAGAAAGTCTTTATTTCTCACTCACTTTTGAAGGAAAATTTCACTCTATGTAGAATCCTAGGTTGATTTCTCTTTTCTTTCAATGGTTTAAATATTTTGCTCTATGTTTTCAGTAAGTTTTTTAAAGGGGACAGAACACTTTCTTAAAAGAGCATCTTCTTGGAGTGCCAAGCAGGTACGACCAAGGCGCTCTGGGGCTGTAAGAAGCGGAGCCGAGATACCATCCTGTTCAAAAGTTTTCTGTCAACTCTGACACGTCACCTCCTCCCCCGCCAGGAAGCCCCCACACAGGATAACCCATAGCAAGGAGGGTTCACGTGATGCGGACACAGCTCCGTGAGTTAAAGGCAGTCATTCCTGTTACTGACTCTCACGAGACGGACCACTGCAAAATGCGCAGAAAGAGCCTCCAGAGGTGGCACAAAACGCCCTTTTGAAGGGGGGCTACATTTCCATGATAAGCCACACGCACAGCTACCGTGAGTCGGAGAGAGACTGCGTTGGCACGAAATAGGAACTCAAAGGCTGCTGCATTATTCTCCTTAGGAAGATGAGAGTTTTAAAATGTATTTTTATTATTACTCCTGAGATGGTGAGGGCAGAGAAGTCAGGAATGGGAAAGAAAGATGACCTGTTCCTCTGGAGGCGGAAGTCCCAGCTGGCTGAAACGGCAAAGAGGCGATATTTCTTAAGGAGCACAGATGTCTAATATTTAGTTCTAGGTTGTCTGCTAAGCATGCGGGTGCCAGCAGTGGTGGCTGCAGCCGGCTCAGACTGGGGCTCAAAAGCCAATTGTCACATTGTCAGTTTCACAAGCTGGTTGTTCAACTTAGCAATTATTCAGGATTAAATCACAGAAACTCGCAATAAAGAAAACATACTGAAGGCAAAGGTAAGAGATACTCAAAACTTGTCACTTCCTAATTGTTTTGCCACGTCGCACACCCGCGCGCTTGAAGTTACCTGCCCGTATAGCGCGTGTCTGGTGGAAACACGTCGTCACACAGCGCACAGCGATCTCTTCCTGGCTGAGCCGGTGCTGTCAGGTTGGGAGCCGGAAGTGTTTACACCGCAGGATTTGGCACATGCTTCCGACTGGGGCGTGTCTGTCTGGAGAGCAGGTTGTCAGGTTTCTCAGAGCCCCAGCTGGTCAAGGGCACGTCTGCCTGGAAGCAGCCGCTCAGAGTCCTTGCTCCGTCACTGGCCAGCGGTGAGAGCTGAGTAAGTACTTAGCCTTCTGCCTGGCTTTTCCCTTGTGGTTATTTTGAGAAGCAAGTGAGTCAAAATACAACTGAATCCACTATTGGTGTTTTGTCATTGTTGCTTTTTATTTACACAGTAATATTAATGGCATTCATATCCAGTACAAATGCTTGACATCTTCCTACACCCTCAGAAACCCACACCAACTCCTGGCTTCCCCTGGTATCCATGTACCCTGTCTGCATAGTTAAAGAACGAACAGCTGTTAGCTGGGGCGCCTAACCCCTCTAACAAAGACAACGTTCCCCAGCGTCTGTTGGCTGTGATGAGTAACGGTTTGAACCCCAAAGGGTCATGCAAACAGCTGCTTACAGCCTCCCTTAAGTGACAACTGAGTGGCAGCCTTGTCTCTGCCTCTTCACCTTTCCCGCCTCTCTGCTGGTTGGATGTGGACACAATGGCAGGATCTTCAGCAGCCATTCTGAACTCTAAGGTAACTGAGTGAGTGCAGGTTCCATGATGGAGCTGCAATATGGAACTTGCCTGGGTCCCTTCCAACTCCGTGGAGCAAGGTCTCCACACCAACCCTTTCTTGGGAAAGAAAACTGTGTGTCTACACTGTTGTTCCACCTCGGAGTGTGTTCCTTGAAACAGCGGACCTCGTGAAAAGCTCAGAATCTCATCCTTCCGCAAAGCTGCTGGTCTGTACATTGATAAAATCTGCATTTAGCAAAG